AGAAATACATGACTCATATCTTCTAAATGTTTAAATTACATATTTGATGTTTATTAGTAACATCAATAGTTCTAAGTCGCCAAAATTATTCTTTTATTCTTTAAAATTGGGTAGCTATTCTACCCCTCTTGGAATGGTCGCATATAGTGCTGAATCTTCAATGAAATCTAGCTAACCCTGGGGGGGAAAAAGATAAAATGGGTTGTGTGATAAGAGCAACTTCAATGACAGATGACTCAATAATCCACTCGGCAAAGTGTTAAATGACTACTGATGTTCAAGTTACGGGGGGGGGAGCAGGGGGGAGTTTAAAAAAGGGGGTAAAAATCAACTCAGAAGGTCCCAAACTTTTGTAGAATCACTAACACTATGAATATGAAAGCCAAAGTCCCAGGAAACTTTGCAACCATCTGATTTGTTGTAGCATGCAATCATGTAGGTTGCACGCTATATACATGGATATCATGTCAGATATCCAAAGTACCCCAAGCTGGCAGTGAATTGAAGAACAGTGGGCACTATATCAGGTTAACAAAGTAAGACCAAAGAGACTAAAAATAGGAAAAACACAGCAAAAAGTACCAGGGTGGCACACAGAATAAACTTTTTGGGAGAAGATTACAATAAGTTTATCATATTTCATCCTTATGTTTATGAGGGTGCCAACAGTCAAAGGTTCCTTGGCAGCCCAATGCATGTTTACATTTTCCAAGCTCAGTGGATTTTAGTGCCCATGCACACAACTGTAGCAGTTTTTTTACTATGAGCTTTCAGAGTTACTCTTACACTAACTGTTATCAGAGTATGAAGACAGATCTTAGAAATGGGAATAAAGACAGTAGCCTGTAATGCCAACGCACACATGAAGCCTCAAGGCTTTGAGATAATTTTATTTCAAATGCAGTCCAGAAAACAAATAATCCTCTTTCCTACACTATCCCCAGTAAAGAACAGCACTGTTTATGGAGAAGCCACTGAGAAGGATAAATGTAATCTTAGCATTTATCTTTTCTGCAAACTAAATAGAGAGGCATGTATCTTGAATTTTGGATATGAACAGTCCCCAGGCTAATAAATGATGTAATAAATAAGCAACAGTCTTAGCTCCTAAAATTGTATATAGGATTGCTGATCGTCATTTACCAAATTGTATACATATCAATAGGAAGAAAGTTGCAATTCTTTGAGAAGTGGGGTCAATTTATAATATATCTTATTAAAAAATTTGGAATAAAATTAATGAAGTCATTATACAGAGGATTTGGAAGAATACATTGAGACCAGCTGGTGGTGTTTGACTGTAGACATAGGTAGCGGCAGTAAATAGAATGTCATCTTTGTTGACTTAATAGAAGTGGGGAAAGAAATCCAATTAAATACCAATTAGATATTGCTGAAGTCAGTCTAGTTTTTATTAAGTACCTTCATGAAGGAAGATGAATTATTCAAAATTTTATAAAACTTAACCCCAAAAAGTTATAATTATACGTGGGCCATTGTTTTGATTCCCACAAGTATCCTACAGTTCAGGAGAATATTCACAGCCTGTTTTGCATTCAGAAATGACATCTATTCTTGCTACAGATTATTTGTATTTCTTTCTGCATGCAGCTTTTCTGGGCTGGCAGCGCAGGCTTTAGTGGAAGATTAAATAATACCAAAGCCCATAGTAGAAGCATATTTTGTCTTATTCCTTCTTTCACTCCAGCAACCTTTCTCACTCTCATCAAACACAAAATCAGCTTCCTACCCCTTATTTTAAGAATTGCATTCCAGTCCTCAGTTAAGAGAAGGGTTAGCCCTCCCGGCCTTCACTATACAAATATTTAGAATCCATGGAAGAGCTTTAAATCATCACCTGAATTTTGGCAGATGAGAATGCTCTTGCCAAAGGATATTCAATTCAAATTATACTAAATTCAAATTGATTTCTCCCCAGTTTCAGAGAGAGATCTTAAGCCTCTGTCTCTTATGCTGAAACTCAGCAAAAGTGGTTTCTTCTCATTCTCCAACTCTGCTTATAATGGGAAAATTCTCATCACCCATTCATTTTTTGCAAGCATCCGTTTGGAATGTGTAATGAACAAATATGGTTTTCTGTTCAGACGTTCTCTTTATGCAGCAAATTGTTTCTAATAAACCTATTAGCCATTAACCTATTTTGTCAGGTACAATTGTTTAAGCAAGCTGTGCTTTACTCTAAACAACACAGTTGTCTTTAAGCAATGCAGTTCCACACTTTATACTATTAAAGTTACGTTGTGTATCTCCTCCAGTCACCTCTTGACCCAATACTAAGAAAGACAGTAAACATGCAAAAGCGATTTCATAAAAAATAAGTGTTACCAGTAAAACTATTACAAAAGTATTTTTTTTTAAAAAAAACCCTATCAAGCTGTATTGATGAAATAAAGTTTTGGTATAAAACACTGATTACAGAGGAATTATTTCATTCAGGTTAAATATTTGAAATCCCCCTTAGTATATCTTCAAATGCTCACGACTTTTTGAAAGACCTGTATTTAGCACAAGGCTGAAGTTCCACTGTATTGTTTATACCTGCAACCCCAAACAAACTAACTAAATTCAAGTCCCACTGAATTAAGAAGGGATCCTTTTGATTAAGTATGGAGACATAGGAGCATACTGTATGTCGCATACGTGTATATTTATAAAGATAATTTAGAAGAATTTAAGAAGAAATTATATATAATAAAATATTATGTGAAAGAAATGCTATGCGTACCATTGCGGAAGGATGGTTTTTAGGACAGCTCCTTCTAATCCTAGCCATAATAGCATGAAAGATATAGACTAAAATGCTTCTTTCTTTCCCTCAGGCTGAGTAAGTTTTAATTTCACTGTAATTAACTGTTTGAGCCAAAGGGCTTTAGCTAAGACAGTCAAGATAAGCTTTTAAATGGTAAATTGCAGTACCCTCTGGTCACAATAGGTTTTGAAGATCACAAAAAATTAAATTTGTACAGTGTGTCCTAAAATAGTTCATGAGGCAATTGAATTTGCCATGAGTATATCATATTACACTGTGTTTTCCATAACAAGTATTAAAGATGTCCTTAAATATCACTGGGGATATAAACTAAGGAACTACTGCTGTCTATGCCTCCTTAGCACATCTATTTAGTGTTTAGGGATATGTATCCTATATTTGACACCAAAAATATGTGAAGTAATTATCAAATTACTCTCAAGAAACACAAAATAAAGTGTGAAATTCAGAGATCAGAATTCTGAACTGGGTTTCCAATACTACATGAAGGGTTGTTTTTCCTTTTAATGCTCTTACCATTTCCTGTTGTGCTCCATGCGATACATGTTTTAAAAAACTTGCATAATAAACCAGCATCTCAGAAAGTATTGTGTAGTGTTTCTGCAATGCATTTTACATAGAAAATTAAATCTGCAACTTTTTATAAAGGACCTCTCTGAAACAGAATCCATCCAGTTTTCCATCCAGGCATGATAAAGTTCAGAAATCTAACACCCCCAGCCTACTATTTCATTCTGCAGCAACACATAAAAGTTATATTCACAACATGGCATCCGTACTGTCATCAGAACAGGACTTTGTGATAGAAGTCCAAGACCCCTACAGCAGAATAAACTCCAGAGACCCACCAAATACATCTTATATTTCAAGCAAGTGAAAGTATTAATAACTCTATAGAGGGCATAAAATAAAATAACTCTATAGAGGGCCAACTGTTCAAGTTATCTAGCTGTTTCTCTGCCCCCTCAGATGAGAACTGCAATAGCCATACTATCACCAATCCAACTTCTCAATATCATCTGCCTTACTTTCTACTTGGTCTCCCAGCACAGCACATCTCTTCCTCAAATCCCCATTATTTTTGTTCAGTTCTTACCATTCAGTTGCTTCCATTTGTACAGTCAATGCCACATCTAAATTCTCAGTGCTTTTTACTCCTGGCTCGTTTTAAACCAAATTCTCCCTGAATGCTGGTACTGATTACCCTCTCATCAGCTTCCTACATCCTATTCCTTAGATTCTCCTCTCCTCTCCTCCAACCCTTCTTCAAGGTATCTTGCATGCTCTTCTCCTATGCATTTCAGACTGGCTTTCCATACTGTTCTCTCAGTCAATAACCCCACATTCACATTATGGATCCCATCACCGTTCTTTGCTCCCAAACTTCTCTCCACGGACTCCAGAATTCCCCTCTTCTACATGCAATCCCAAACTTCTCACACATTGCTTTTCAGTTAAGCCAGCCTGCTTCTTGAGCCATTTGCAGCTTCTGCTACTTAAAGAGTTATCACACTATGCATGTTTCCACACAAACTCTGATATGCTACTCAGGGTGCCACCAAACCACTCCATTCTCACCTTCTGCACAACCATCCAGCAACTTAAATCCTGTAACGTTATTTTCTGTATCAGAAAACACAGAACAAGGCAAAAACCAAAACATCATCAGGGTCTTCAAATAGGTGCCCAGAGAATATTTTCTTCACTTCACCTTACCCAGCAAATATTAGGAAAAATGCTTTGTTGCAACCTTGAGTTCCAGAATCGCACTATTAAATAACTAAGCTAGGGCAAGCAGTCACCTTGCTTTTCCTAATATCAAGCCCAAACTTAGGAAAATCTCCCATATAATCAGCCCTAGAATTTAACTACCTCCAGAGGAGATGTTGGGGCTCAATTTCGCCTTAAATTCTTAACCACAATCACAGAAAAGGACGGTGAAGTTATTCAGTGGTGATTGCAATACTTGATTAAATATATTATTTAGTCCAGGTCTAAGTCATTTGGGGGAATAGTTAGAGCTTGGAAACCCTTTGTTCTTCCCGTTTCGGGGAAAACACTCTGCACGTACTCAGAAGGTCGGCTCCTGAGACTAAAACGGGGTGGGAAGGGTCATTTCCAGCCTTACTTCCCAACCCCAAGGCAATTCTTCGTTGCGCGGGCCCCTGGAAGCCCGCCGCAGCCCACCCCGCGGAGACCCTCCACTCACCCGCCCCGAGATGCTCGTCGGTGACGGCGCCGTACTCAACGGCGTCACTCCACCGGGCGCAGGTGCCCTGTCCCTGCACCAGCGCCTGAAGGGGCAACTCAGCGCCAGGACTCGGGTAGCAGCGGAACCCGGAGACGCAACGTGGCGTGTACACCCCGCAGGGCTCTCCCTCGAAGCGGGCACAGACTGGACAGCAGCCACAGCCGGGCTCCCGCACTAACTCCGGGCAGACGACGGTCTCGGGTCCGGGGCGGGGGCAGGCGGCGAGGCGGTCGGCGGTGCACGGCGGGCAACGGAACAGCACCTCGGGCAGCGCCAGTCCGGGGGGCGGCAAGGACGCCCACCAGCCCAGCCCGAGCCACAGGTAGGAGCCGATAACCAGCTGCGGCAGCTGCACCATCCTGGCGGCGGCACCGCTTGACTGAGCGACCGGCTGGGCGGGTGCGGCTGGGCGAGCGACTGGAGAGAGCCCGGCACCGCTGGGTCCTAGAGGCAGGCGGACGGGCGTCGCTCCACCCTCAGCTGGCGCGGCGGGCGGGAGGGGGGGGCCGCCCCCCCCCCCCCCCCCCCCCC